CTGCTGAGGGGAGGTTCAAGGCTTTCTCTACCTGTGCCTCCCACTTGACTGCAGTTGCGATTTTCCAGGGAACCATGCTATTCATGTATTTTCGGCCAAGTTCTTCCTATTCCTTAGATCAGGATAAAATGACATCGCTGTTTTACACTCTGGTGATTCCCATGCTGAATCCTCTGATTTACAGCCTGAGGAACAAAGATGTGAAAACTGCTCTGGAGAAATTGAAGAATAAAAGGTGATTGACAATTTCTAACATAAACTGCATATTTTTATTTTAATTCAATCTACACAAGATATTCTATTGTTACACATTTTCTAAAATATATTGTTAGTTTCACATCTAGTTTTAAGAAAGCTCTGTTAATATCTATGCTCAATTTTTCTCAAACACTACATGCTGTTCTCTGTGGAAATTTTCTTAACAATTTTAATTTTTCTCAAGTTGTATGTGACCTTCCTTTTCCTTCAATGTAAATTTAAATTTGGTGTGGTGGGTATTTACTCATTGCTTTGAACAGATTTAAATATTTTTAAAGGAAAATTAAATAGACTAACCGGTGGTGAGCATTATATACAGATGAAATAAGACAATTACTTTATATTCATAATTTACATAGACTTTATTACCATTCTAGAGACAGTGGGACTGGGGAAATGGAGTCAGTAAATAAGTAGGACTAAAATCTCATGCAATAGTCAACTTTATTTAGGTCATGAGACAGTTTATTCTCTGAATATTAATAAAAAATAATAGGAGTAAAGTTTTTATGAGTTCAAGTTGGGTACATACAACAAGGCCAAGCTGTATATGACAAAACATGTTTTTACCTAAAGGCACATAAATGGCAGTTTAAACAATAATGAGCGATCTGTAGTAAACTCACTTCTATCTGTCATGTCTTTGGAAGACCACAAAACATATTTCAATAGCAATTCTGTGTTTTGAAGAAACTGAGGTCACAAGACTCTTGTCTTATTTTCTTGGAGTATTCTCACAGCCCTTAGAATTCTTTGCATATGGATCCATTTCTGAAGCATATTCTAGTAAAACTTCAGGGCAGTCTTGAGTTTATACCCCATTGACTCAATTTCAGAGAAGATTGTCTAATCCAGTTTCAGGATAACACCTTCTTGGAAGGTAGATATTCTGTTTCTATACACAAATGATGCTAATAGTGCAGAAAATGTCTATGCAGTGATTTTTCCAATTAGAGGGGCCAAGATGTAGGGAAACCTACATTTGGAAGATCAACCATGTTGTTTAAAACAAGTACCAGATTTTGGTAATGTATAACTGATTGGTAGAATTGTAAATTCTCCCATCATTTCCTCCACTGACTTCTAATTTGTTATTATCACTCTGTCATCCCTAGTTAAATAATTCTCTTCAATTGCTTCATTTACACATTAATTAATTTGCATCTATTTCTGAAATTTCTGTACACAATGAGAAGACATAAGCATGTATTTGTGCCTGGTCTACAAGAGAAAAAGCATGTCTTTGTTTAAATAATGAATTATCTGAATTAAAAATCCTAGAATCATAGGTGAGAAATAAATGAGACAGGAAACAAATAACAAAACAGAACCCCATATGATATGAAATTTGGTAATACTTGCTAACCACTGTTGGGACAATGCTATGTGCAAAGTCAATGCACATAATAGACAGTTTAAGGTTTGAATAAAGTATATAAAATGGTTGTATATACAAAACCAAAATTTCTCTAAATAATTAAGCTCATGAGATAGAAACAAATGACCTGTGGATATGTCCTTGGTACACATTTTTAATATATTATTGATCAATTTTTCTCACAGATGAACTCTGGAAAATCATTTTGAAAATAATTTGGATATAGACCTATTTTTGAAAGTCAGTAGAGCCCCTTAATTGGCAGTCACAATTACATGTAATAATTTTCCTGAGCATATTCAGTTTTACTGTCTTAGTATCAATTGATCATGCATGAAAATATTTCAGAACTGAAGACCAGGTGCTTTTCTGCTTTATGATACCGTCTGGTGTACTGTAAGTTCTCAGAAGAAATCCCTGATAAGGATTTTTTATTTAGATAAACACCTGTGTGTACCATAATTTCTCCATCAAATCACTTTCTTTTGGAATAGTGCTCAGTGGACAGAGCTGTGATGTTTCTAAATAAATGTATAAATAATACCAAAACATTGTGTATGACTTTCTTGTTATTTTCTTTGGGTATTTTGTTTGATTTGCTAGTGATTTTGACTTGCTTCTTTTGCTTAAAAGAAAGAGAAAGGACAAGGAGTTGGGTAGATGAGTGGGGAGTATTTGAGAGTATGGGGAGAGGAGAAATTCAGATTGGAGAATTTTGCTAGGTATTTTTCATAAAAGGAATGCTGAAAATAATGCTAATATGTAACAAAGATTTTGTGACATGGTGAATTCATAAAGACAGAGCGCTCAAAGACTGGATTATGAACCTAGCCACATAGGACTCAAAAGCTCTCTCTCTCCTTTTAGAATTAAAGAGAAGTGAAAGGAAGACCATCTATGATAAAAGAAAAAAAAGAAGAGATATCACCACTCTCCACATCTAAACTTGATTTGGAACAACTTTCTCCCAGTGTTGTGAGATTTACCAAAATGTGATATTTTGTTGCCATAACTCAAAAACATAAAAAAACAACATGACTGTAAACATTGTTTCAATTATATCAAAGATTATGCAAAATATAGTGGAACTTATTAGGTCATAAATAAAATTATAATTATTAAAAGAGGAAAATTAAAAATTAAAATTAAAAGAGGAAAACAGGTCAATGGTTACCTTTATTCCTTTCAATGGATATTTGAATTTTATTATGTTTGAACAGTCAATTCAGATACACATTAATCTCATTGCATTATGTACAACATGTGAACAAAAGAAAAGGAAATTAATGTCATCAATGTCTCAAAATACAGTGAGCCAATTATTATTACTATAATGTGCCTCTACGTTGAGGTTGAAATTCTGACCCTTGGATCCATTTAAAACAATTTATGACTCAAAATAAAATTCACACAGATTAGTTTTTGATCTGAAGCTTACACAGAACTGTGGACGACAACTTCAGAGGCTTTGTTGCCTTGAATGGGACATTCTAGAGAAGTGTTTATAACTTCTTTCCTGTATCATCATTTCTAAACAACATCTTCCCTTTTAAATGTAAACTGATGGTTGTAGGTAAATACTACTGAGTTAGACGCATCAATCTGTAAGTTTCCTTGCTTGGTACGATACAATTAGATCAGAAAGTAAACAGAGTGCATGTAACACTGAGAGAAAATGGAAACAGTCTACAACTGAGCGGTGGGAAAGCTGATGTATAATATTTTTATATGTACTAGACATTAGGTCATTCTTAAAAAAAGCCCTTGAGTAAGGCAAACACATTGACATCTTTTCATCTTGCTATTATTTCTAAAATGTTAGGCAGTATCTCAGCAATGTTTTCATTAAAATCATCATAGTTTTACCTGCATTGCCACCCAATTAAAACCAATGAAATATAAAAGCAGTTTAAGAAACCACTAAAGAAACAGTTCATTAATCAGTATTTCTTTCATATTTTAATCTCACACAGTTGTATTTTAAAGGAATCATTCAGCAATTCAGCGGTTAGTGAGTCTGTATTTTCAATTTTGCTACAGCCGATAATGCAGCTTGCTACTATTTCTACCATGCTAGCCAGTATCTCAGCAATATTTTCATTCAATTCAGCATATTTATCTCTGCATTGCCACCCAAATAAAGTCAATAAAATATAAAAATCTGTTTAAGAATATGACAAAAGAAAGAATTCATCAATCAGTATTACTTTCTTATTTTAGTCTTACATGGTTGTGTTTTAAAAGAATTGTCCAACAATTCACAGGTTAATGAATCTCCATTTTCAGTTTTGCTTCACCTGAAAATCATTTCTTCATGTGTGTATTTGGATGGACCCAATCATTATTTTAGTATGTAATTGATGCTTTTATTTGTTTCCACATGTCATAAAATATACTTTACAGATGCTTATAATATAAATTCGACAGACAGTCTTTGTGCCAAGGATATCCACATTTGAAAATGAATATATAAGAGAAGTGGAGTGAAAGTTAATAATGGCTTTGAAAGATAATTATTTATGACCTACCAAAGGGAACATTTAACCCAGACAATGAAGTGGGCATGGATGGATAGAGAAGCTACCAAGAAAGCTGATACCAGCTACAGTTCATGCTTAATTTTGTGAAACCCCTTTCGTTTCTTCTTAACCTCCTTTGCACATCTTTAACTCTAAAGAAGAAATGGACTTGCAACCTATAAGTGTTTTGCAATTTTTAGATGCTCCGATTAGAATTTGATCTTTTCTTCAGTGAGCTTATCTTTAGGTATGAAACAGGGTATCTAAGTTAAGGTTGCTGCGGGTCTCTTGAAAACTACACTTAAACATAAACTCTAGAACTTTTCTGTACAAGCTTCATTCTATGACAATTTTAAAACTGATTAAGCTATTTGTTTGCTTGAGGAATTTATGTCTATTACTTATAATTCATAACAACATTTATGATCATAAAGAAAAAGATGATTCACCATTAAAAATCCCATAATACAGAGAATATAATATAGCATAATGTTTATGGTTTATAATTCAGAATCCAATTATGGAGTCTAACCAAACTTTGACACAGAATTCTCTTACCACTTTCTAGGATTACTGGTAGGTGTCCATAAGCTTTGCTTATTAAAATAATGTTTCAATGAGAGACTTGAGAAAAATGAAGCGTAAAAATATAAGTAATTGTATAGACACCTTCACATTTTATTTAATAAAATGTAATGCAAAGACAGGCTAGCTGGGATAGCCTAGTATTCTCAGACGTGGGAGACTTGAAGCGAGGGGTTTTCAAGGGTCAATCTGGAAAACATGGTGAGTAGCTAAAACTGCACGTGAATGAAGAAAATTGGTGATAATTCAGAAAAAAATATTTAAAACCATTTGTTTATTTTAATTTTCTTCAAAGATTCTTTCACATCCTTGTTCCTCAGACTGTAAATCAGTGGATTCAGCATGGGAATTACAAGGGTGTAAAATAAAGAAGTCATTTTGTCTTGATCGAGGGAGTAAGAAGAGCTTGGACGAAAATATGTGAAGAGTAGGGTTCCCTGGAAAATACCAACTGCAGTCAAGTGTGAAGTGCAGGTGGAGAAGGCTTTGAATCTCCCCTCAGTAGAGTGGATTTTTAAGACCGATGAGATAATATAACAATAAGAAACAAGGACCCCTGAGATGGTGCTCATTTCAAGGAAACCATAAATGGTGAATAATGCCAGCTCATTTATTTGAGTGTCTGAGCAGGAGAGGAGGTAAAGGGGAGGTAAGTCACAGAAGAAATGGTTGATCTCATTGGACCCACAGAAACAGAGCCGGAACGCCAAAGTCGTATGTATCAACGCATCTGATGTCCCCACCAGGTAAACTGCAGCCATGAGCATGGAGCACAATCTTCGGGACATGTTCACTGTGTAGAGCAAAGGGTTGCTAATGGCCTGATACCTATCAAAGGCCATCACTGCCAGGAGTACGCATTCAGAATCTGCAAAGGTACAGGAAATGAAGAACTGAGTAGCACAGCCCCAGAAGGGAATTGACTTATTTTTGCCAAAGATATCTACTAGCATCTTGGGGCCAATTGCAGTGGGATAGCAGAGATCACAGAAAGAAAGGTGGCTCAGGAAAAAGTACATCGGTGTGTGGAGCTGTGGATCCACTCTGATCAAAATGATCATACCAAGATTCCCCAAAAGGTTGATGAGATAGATGAGTAGAAATATGGCAAACAGTGTCCCTTTCATCTCAGTATTATTAGTAACTCCCACGAAAATGAATTCATTCAGTGAGCAGTTTCCTATGTCCATTTTTCTTCCTGTCTATACCTTTGAGGAAAGAAATAGAAAGAAAATACAAATGAATTTTAAATTCTGGGTATCAACAATTAACACAATTCAATTATTTCTCATCCATTTTATAGTATAGAAATGTTAGAGTACTGATTCTTTCTTGCAATCTTTTCTTAACCTATTTTTTAATGAAAAATATTGTCATTATCTGAAATAGACAGGTGAGATACTGAGATGAATCTATACACCACTGAAAGTTGATCACTCTCTGCCAATTCTGTAATATACATAAAATAAACATTACTTGCACTACTTTGTGTAAGAGATTGATTTAGTTATATTGATTCTCATTTGATATTTTATGAACACAGATGTTAGAGACACAGATTATACATGAAGGGAATATTATTTCTGTTCTTTACTGTATTAAAACACAATTATTTTAATTATTTGTTTTCTGAACAATCAAATGAGCTTAAAACAGTCTATCGATTTATAGTCATTAATAATAACTTTAATAATGAATAAATAGGCTTAGTTATAGAAATGCAAAACCAAAAAATTTGTAACAAATAAGACAGCTATTTTTTGTTTTATATTTTAATGTTTTTAAATGAACAAAGTTACACCAGCTTCCCCTCCCTTTTCTTGGGCTATCCCCACCCTAGTTACCCTCCCTCTCTACCCCATGCTCCAACTCTCTAATTGAGAGCAGTATTTTACTATATTGTGTGTGTGTGCATGCACAAATATACCTAAATATAGAATATATTGACTTTTTGTTGTTTGTATTTATATAGTTTAAAACTAGCCGTGCATGCACAAATATACCTAAATATAGAATATATTGACTTTTT